AGTGATGATATAGCTTTTTAATGGTGCAATAATTGTTGAAATCGGTTCAGTAATTTTTGAGTTATTTCAATACACACAAAAATACAAATCTTTTCTCTTTATTATATTAGTTTACAAGTATGAATATACTCGTAGAAATTGATTCATTTTTTCCAAACACAGATAGTATATTTATTAACTCGTAGAAATGTAGTAATAACAGTTTGCTTGGTATATTCGTATGCTGTTGTTAAAAATACTTTATTCAAAGTCATCGTAATTAATGTAATGATATATCGATACGGCAGATGTGATTTTCATTATTACAGAGCTTGTAAGACCAGTACTTAACGCAATAGCAGCCTAACTTACTCTCACTACAGCTATTGACTTAGTTTACTTTCCTGATTGTATGGAGATATGGACCGGATTTCCATCCGAAGTATTACAGCCGAATACTGAAACGTTATTTTAATAAGTAATAGCGTCTTCAACTCCGAATTCCTTACATTTGACGTCTATGAGATAAGGCGACGCTTACGAAGCCGAGAAGATTTTAAGATTCGTTTCAGTGTTTGCCCGTTAGAGACAAACTGTTTGGTTTCATCAGTCATTGCATATCTATTGTTAGACCTGCAGATATCTGAAAAGTTGTTGATAAATGTCCAATAAGAGAGTACCTTAGTTTAGATTTATTATAGTACAGGCACTAAGAGAATGAAGTAACCATCTAAATTTACGTGCGACAATGAAAGGGTTAAGTTAAAGGACTTCAAAGAATTATTAAAGAAATATTAAGTTTCTCTGAGTAGGAAATTACTTTATTATACCTGAAGATGTAACTAACGGAAACTATGAAGTGAGCTAAATTAATTAGATGGCTGGCTATGAACGCAATATACTCGATGACGTCATCTGATGAGATCGCGGCCCGCAAATAGACACTCGTACGCCTCTGTTTACCACTTGTTATCGTGAGAGGAATGCGACCCGTGATTCATCGCCTCTGGTTGCCAGGTGCCTTTAATTTGCAAAACTAAACTTGCGTATTTCGTATCCGCATATCGGAAAATGTTAATACTTTAATGAGTCAAAACAGGCTCTAATCTTGTTAGATACTAAAATATGCCTAACAGTAATTAGTTTTATAACGGAAAATCATGTAATTCGCAAAGAATGTGAGGAAACGTAATCGGTTTAGTAAGCTTCGGTCATTACAAAATTCTTGAAAATGTTTAGTTCAATACTTCTACCAAACTCTTTGTTACTATTAACTAATTTTATTTAAACTTTAATGTAGATAGTCATTGCACTTGTGCTGAAAAGTATTCGTGTCTTAGTCTTTTGAAAGCATATCATTTAGTCTGTGGTTGAAAAATTGTCCTTGTGTTTGTGAAGTGTCAGTATATCAAGTGTAACGAAGGTATATTTAGTCTGTGGCAAGTGTAAAATGAAGGAGAAACGGCGCTCCGGTCGCTGCAGGGGGAAAGTGCACCACGCGCTGAGATATCTCGGGTAAATGTTTTGCCTATTTTGGACTAATTGTACTTTCGACTGTTTCTTGGAAGATTTGGTTCCAGAAATCGATGTATAAAGACAGTACATGTTCAGTTTCGACTGACAGTTTTAAATTACCAGGTCAAGTTTTTTAACTGAACTGTTGTCAGTTCGAACGGAGCGTATGTACCGGGTGTAAGAGAATTTATTACTAAGTAAATAAAAAAGTGTTTAATAGAAACTGGTTGACACGAACTGTTCAGTGAAAACTTTACATGTGTAGGCTAAATTTTAACTGTCATTTGTACTGGACAGTTTTCAGTTTTGCCCACCCGTGACTTTTAATTGAACAGTTTGACTCTTCAGTTAAACTATTAAGAACGATTTTTTGTAGCGGGAATTGGAAATATTAGTTGTTGTTGGAATTTATGGTTGGTTGAAAATTATTATTGGAATTTTAGTTTGTTAGCAACTCTTAGATATTTTAGAACTTTTACTACAAACTAAGTATGAATTCTGTATTTTCTCAGAAAACGTCAAGTTTCTCAACAATATATGTATGTATATATATATATATATATAT